TTGCCCCAGGCGCGGCATTGTCCGGAAGAATGCGAATGTCGCTTTGTTCTATGCGGGTCATCTCATTGTTGTAAAATGTTGGCTTAGGTAAAGAGGCTGCCAGGGGTAGACTCGGAGGCGCAGCATCAGGTTCCTTTCGTGCACCTCCAGGCCGCAGCGAGTTGTACTCCTCAGCCTCGGCCTCCCAACGTGAAGAGTGTGCTTCTCGACAGGCTGTGAAGAGCAAGTCGGTCCCAGTCCTAGCTGCCCAGCTGCGACTCTGCGAGCTGGCTGTTTGGGGAGTTTGTTCAGGCGGCCGTGGCGAACCAGACGTTGCGGCTGGACGGCAATCTGTCCGCTCAGGCAGATTCTGTTGGGTAGCTCAGGTTGGTCAAGTTCTGCATGCCAGCGGCGAAGCAAATCCTTGGAGTAGCCGCTGCATTTGGTTTCAAGCTCGAAGGGAGAGGGCACCGAGATGGAAGGATGGAGAGGTTTGCCGAGGAGCTGAAAGAGATGCAACGGGCCGCACGTGAGCGTCGCCTGGCTCTCACAGAGCGCAGCCGGCGCAGCGACCAAGCCGCCTCAGACCGCGCTTTTACGGTCGGAGGCACTTTTAGGGTCAGACGAGCTTTGTGAAGAAGGGGCCCGGCATGGCCCGGCCCGCAGTGGCCCGCAGGCTCGGGCTTTCTCGGTGACGAAGAGCTGCGAGAAGTTCTCAGGGAGATCGAAGAGAATTGGGGCCGCTGCGCCTGGACCCGAGGCTCCAGCTCAGAGAGGCTCCCATATTTCCTCTTCTTTTAAAAAATCTCTGAGAGATTTCAGGTGGGCTTGTACATTCACGGGTCCACGATTTTCTCCAACAAGGAGCCGAAAGACTTGGAAGCTTGGCTGCAATGCTTTGGAGTCCTGGAGGATCTTGGCCGTCGGCCGCAATCAGGACTTGCTTGCAATTGTGGACGAAGCCAAGAAGGTCATCGCTTCGGGGTCGAAGGAGCAATGAAGCACAGTTGCCGCACTGTCGCCTCCGTCGCGTCTGTGGGGTCCTTTTGGCAGGAGGCCCAGTTTCTTCGGGGCCGCTGCGAAGTCTCAGTCTACGAACGTCGGCACCTCGGCTTGGCGTGATCGGCACCAGCGGGCGGCTTCGTCGACTCGTGCGCTCGCGTCGATCGCAGCCGAGGTGACTTCTGGCTGAGGAGGCTGGAGGCGATGGACCTGACCATGCTGAGCCTCGCTTGCACGTTTTCCAAGGCTTCCTTCTGTGCTGGTTGCAGGTCTTTGTCCTGAAGTGAGTCTCTTTTCTCCAGGCAGTAGCGGATTCTATCGCCCAGACAAAGCTACCGTTAGAACAGCAGTGCGGCTCGTTCGAGGACATGCATCTCAACCCCGAAGTGCTTTGTCTTACTTGAGATCGACGATCCCCGTGTGCGAAACTTGACGCTTCCACTGGACATCCTCGAGGAGACCTTCGGCTAGAATTGAAGTGGCTCAAAGGTGTCTCCTGCCCAGGAGTCGGTGGCCTCGTATGCAGAGTACACCTGGCTGAAGGCTCATCGGAGGATGGATGGCAAAGGAAAGGACCAAGGGCGTGGGAAGGGACATGGTAGCTGAGCCCATGCAGGACTTTTGGGTCTACCGGCTCGCGCCTCTCGCAAGGACCTCTACTCAGCTGCGAAGAACTGCTACTTTGCCCGGGGCCCCGCCCTTCAAAGCCACGGCTCACTTCTTGCGGCTTTTGACGAGGCTTTTCGGATCCTGTGCTTCGGTCAGCAGCTCATCCGGAATGGACGTATCCCCGACCTCACAGCTGCCGGGCCCCCACAGCCACAGCGACGAGTTTGCGCGAGTCACGGCGCTCCTTGGCTTCGGAGGCCAATGCGAAGTACGAGGTGATCCAGGCGGTCTTCGATGCACTCTCGGTGGAGCCCGGCCACTGGCCCCCAATGTTGGCTCCAGGGCAAGACTCCCTGGCATCTCCTGGCGTCTCCTGCTTTCTGGGCGCAGTTTGAGGCGAATGGGATGTGGTCGAAGCGATTTTTGGCCGGCTCTTCAGAGCCGAGCCTTGGCCTGAGAGTCGCCTCGTCGTGTCAGCAAAAGCCTTTTTCCCCCCTCTCTGTGCCTCCTTAAAAGTTGGGAGGTTAGCGAGTTTCACCGGGAAGATCCTTGCCGCCCGAGACGGCGATAAGGCCGATGGATCCGTCGCCGGTGTGTCCGTTCGCCGTTAGAGCTTCCCCGGATGTCGGCATATGTAATTGCGGGTGAGGCACAATCAGGTACTGAGTGGGCGTTTTCAGTTCAGTGCGTGCGGCCGTGGGGTGGCATTCAGCGCTTGTGTTCCTGGCTGTGGCTGGAGCAATCAAAAAAAACCTGGAAGCGAGCAATGGAGGTCGACCAGGCATCAGGCCGCTAGCGACGACGACGACGACGACGACGAGGACGACAGCATCAACAACACCAGCAACAGCAATAGTAACAGCAACAGCAAGAGCAAGAGCAAGAACAGTAACAAGAGCAGTGGCAAGAACCACTGGGATAGTTGCAGGAAGGATGCGTTTTGTTTGCAGTGTATGCGTTTCCAGCAATAGAACACGGAATCGAATCGTTGCGTTTCTTTCGGAATAAGGAACCGCATCGTCGCGTTTGAACGGTCCAGGGAGTCCAGGATCGAAATTATAGCGTTTTTTCTGGATCGCGGCAGACCTTGTCGGGAAGCTACAAGCGGAAGTCGTAACAGCATGCGGTTCCTTGTATGAGCGTGTGTTCTGATTTGTACAGCAGTTCAGAAGGCGTCGCAGCAATCTCAACCCAAGTTGCTTTTGACCTCAATAGGCCCGAAGCGTCCAAAGATGCCGCTCCAGCGTTTATAACTAAACCGCTACTCGTACACCTTAAAGGCAATCGAGACCTAACTTCGCGACGAGGGTTTAACTCGCATCTTGCTGAGGAAAAGCTGGGTAAAGATTCAAATCACGCGGTAAAGCTTCAAATCACGCCCGGGGCTATCGTTCAATCCCAGTAGCTGATCTACGACCAGGTATCGTTCACCCTGACGTAAGTTTCCCGAGGAGTAGAAATCTCGTTGGGCCTTTGCAGCAAGCCTCCGCGACGTCCGCAAACAATGCTTTTATTCAAGTGTAAAGCTTTGGGTTAGGGGTTTTGGTGTCTGGCCTATGTTCTCAGGGCATCAGACGTCCGTTCTTATAATTTCAACCCCGGAGGCGCGGTTACAAAGGGAAAGACTAGATTGTCATGACTCTCCACCAGCATATTGCACAGAGGCCGCACGTGAAAACATGTTGAAGCCTTTCGAACCGGATTTTGTAAGTGTTCGAAGCAGAAGCTATACATTCGCAAGCTTTTAGGTCCAAAGCATTAGCTTGCATACTTGGAGATGTTTGGGATCAAACATTGGATCATTGGATTTGCGGAAGGCTGTTTACAAAAAAGAGACTACGCTTTGGAAAGGCTTGGGGTCACGACAGGTATTGTAGAGAAAACATGAGAACCCATCATCTTTGTTTTCACTGGCCTGGAAGGAACAGGGTGTTGGTCAGGAGGCTTTGGGTGGAATTCTGTAAGGCTGGGGACCAGAAGGCGTGCTGGCAGAAAGCCTCGGTCCAGCAAAAAACTGATTTCGAAGGCTTGCGAACCAACAGCTGTTCCGTCAGAAAGCCTTGCAACCAAAACCTTTCTTTCCATAGCGCTGGCCACCACAAAGTTCAATTATTGGAGTGCTGCAAGAAAAGAAAATCTACTGTCAAAACGGGTGGGGATGAAAACTTGTAGTGGGGAAAACCATGATTCTAAATGCCATACCTTTGAAAGGTTTAGGACCCTGCTTTTGTACGTATATTCGGGAAAGCCGGAGGTCCACAAGCTGCACCTTGAGAAAAATTGGGCTTCAATTACATAAAGCTACCTCAGAAGGTGGGGGAACCAGCATCTGCATGCTTGGCAAGCTTTGAGTCTGAACACAGTACTTGCAGAGCGGTCGCGAATTCTAAGCTGTAGTTTTGGAAAGGCCTTGGGCCAAGAAATCTATTTGCTCTTGGATTGTTTTGACAGAATCGGAATGCTGGGAGCCGAAAAACCTGATCTTGCAACATTCTGAAAAGTGGCAAACAGGCAAACAGCCACCCAACCAAACCTTCTGATGATTCACCAAAACACGTAGGGCTTTGGACACACTTTGCCAGACGTGGACGGATTTCGCCGGGTTTTGACGGATTTCGCCGGATTTCGACGGCGGATTTCGACGGATTGCGCCGGATTTTGCTTTCGATGGATTGCGATGGATGTCCACGAAAAAGTTTTTGGGATGGGTTGTGAACCTCGTTGTTTTGGAAATCTGCTGAATCGAAAAATTAGTTTTCTGAAAGTTGCACTTTGGCACGTCATTCGGGCCGTGATTGGAATCAAAAGCTGTCTGTTCGATAGACCTTGAACAAACACTCTATGTGCTCGGAAGATTCGGGAACCAGAACCTTGAAAACCGATTCGCGCTTTTTAGTTTGTGATGCATGCTTGGCTCACGATTCTTTAGTTGCCGCCAGTTGCCGCTTCATCTGTAGATCACGATTCGGGCCGTTTAGTTCTGAGCATGTCTCCGAAGCCTCGCTTGCCCACCCCTCCGCTGCGGAGATCCAAATCTGTTGCATCCTCAGACTCGATGCGCTTCGGAGGTTCGTGCATGGAAACGTGTCGTTTCCTTTTTCAGGCGCCAGCGCGAATGTGTCGACTGCCTTTGCCCCTCCCATGGGGGGCATCCGTCATCGCGATTATCTCGGCCCATCTCGCCATGGCTGCTTGCTTGGCGCCCAGGGAGCCCAGTGTTTAAACTCTTGTTTTGATGCGTCGCTTAATTCTGTTGCTGCATTGGGTTTTGCTTGCAGACGGGGAGACCCGTCGCACGGCGTCCGATGCTCAGCAGGCGCATTCCTAAGCTAAAGCCATGTAACGTTTTATTTCGTTGTCCATTCATATCGTATACGATACAGTATGTAGTATTCAGTATACTGTTGTCATTGTAGTATTTCTTACACTATACAATCGCTTCCCACGAATTATGAACGTCCCCCCTTCACAACAAAATATTTTGGCTGAGATAATTTCATTATTAGAGCATTCCGCGGCTCCACCGAGGGCTGTAAGGGTTGGGGTGTTAGGGTGGGGTGTTTAGGTTTCAGCGAGAGAGGGAATGAGGTGGTGTGTTGATGAAATGCCATCCTAATAATACTATTGTAATACTACTATAATACTACCACAATACTACTATACTTATACTACTATAATACCACTATAACGCTTCTATAATACTACCCTAATAGTAAATGTTTTGTCGATGGATTAGAGTGGGGCTTTGAAGGTTTAGGGTGGCAGGCTCAGGCTTCTCAGTGATGGATGGAGTGAGGTGGCGTATTCATAAGACCCATCCTAATGATAATTGTTTTTCAAGGGGTTAAGGTGGGGTGGTTGAGGTTTTAGGGTACTTTATTGGGTTTTTGTTCAGATCAGGAGGAATCATTATTTATTATTCCAATTACTTGTATTAAGATACTATTATTGCTATTACAGTATTTTCATTTTGGTGTTGTTATGCCAGATGCCGCGCCCGGGACTGCTGGTGGTGGTGCTGGATGCGGCGGGCGTGCGCCCGTTTCAAACTCAAGAACAAGAAGTTTGAGGCAGGCACCGAAGGATCAGATTGTTGTCCTTGAACGCATGCGTTCGTGCTGCCAACTGCATCATCCAGTTTGCTGCAAAGTTTTTGCAGCGTTGTGTTGAACATGGCCAGCCCGCGTGTAGTAACATCATGCTCACATCTTGTACATATGAGGAGATTAAATATTTGGCCGTAAAGTTTTGTTTGTGTCCGGGCTTCGGCTTTGTGCGGGTTGTCCAAAAAATCAGCTCTAGCCCAATCGCAGGGATTGGGGAAGCATAACACCTGTGCTTGTGAGTGCTGATTAATTGCGTCTGCCTCCCTCTCACTCACGTTCTTTGTTACTTTCGCTCGCTCTCACATTGTCTGACAATCTGCCTCACTGACCCTCCCATTTTTTCTCTCTCTCTCTCTCTCT